ACGATAAACGGGTTGCACCGCTCAGGTCTGCAGGGGCCCCAGCAGAGGGCGCTCATGTTACACACAGTCCCAGTGGATACTCATTAGAATTAATTATAAACAATATTTAAACAACTGATATAGTAAAATAAGGACATTCTATGCCAAGTGATGGCAAGTGGGATCATTAACTCCGTTACACATGTGATTGTTTTTTTAAGACAGACTGTTAACTGAAGTACTTCAAACTGTTCTCTGCCACAAAGCTCCTCTACAGTCACAAGGAGGAGACTCATATGTCACATTACATTCATTTCTGAAGCTCTTCATTACAACTGTTTCTAATGAGTGAAAATAATCTGTGACTCCCTCTAGTGGATATTGTGTAGTATTCTTCCAAATGTTTTTGTACAGAGTTTTGGTGTTTCCTGTCACTGTGGGCTGCAGAGCACAGTAGTACACAGCAGAGTCTGTCACTGCAGCAGAGGAGATGTTCATGTTTATTTGGTTTTGCTCCACTTTAATCTTCAGTCCAGGGATTTGTTCGTTTCCTACTGTTCCAGAGGCAGAGTGTCAGATGAGGAACTCTGGTGGTTTTCCTGGATATTGTCGATACCAGAAGAAATAATCACTAGCTGTTAGTTTGGAATATGTGTAGGACAGAGTAACAGTGCTGTCTTCTAAACTGGACTCTTCATCCTTGACTGGAGTGAGTTCTTCACAGCTGACACCTAAAGGAAAAGATCACCGTTATTTCATGTTGTGAAAGACTCTAAAATAAATGAATCATTCAATAAATCTTTGTAATTAAATTCCATCATCATCAGAAACAACATACCTGTTATGATATACAGTAGAATAATAGTAGAGAAAGTTGTGTGCAGTGACAGCATGTTGAATAACATTTGTGTACTGAGTATGGAAGTTCCTCTCTTCTATAGTTCAGTAACAGCTTAGCTCCTCCCTCAATCTCTCCCTCTCGTTTTTTCTTCTCTCAGTTACACTTCGCAACAATTAACACAATACAATATATGTTCACATATTGACAGTAAAACAATGAAAACTGATGTTATGTTTAAAAATAATTTTATCTAAAGGCAGCATCAAGCAAATTGAAAATGAGAGGACCTGGGATTGAACCCTGTGGCACACCATTGTCTAATTGTAAATAAAATTCAAAAGATGAAGCAGATATATTACATGCACATATATAATTTTTGGAAAGTCATTAGAATATTGTGCTTTATTTTGTGTATATACACGGACGTAATTTGGGGGGGGACACAGGGGACATGTCCCCTGCAGTTTTTACCATCCAAAAACAAGTTACGCTATAGTAAACAGAGACACGTCAAGCACTAGTTGGAAAATGAATAACCGCGGGTTTTTGCGTTTTGTTTGGCACACAACACGACGAGTCGGAGAAAAGATGGACGCCTCCAGGAAAGTCGCTATAGTATAGTGATAATCTCATTTAGAGATGTTCCAATACCATTTTTTCCCTCCCGACACAGATTCCGATACTCGTGCTGTGGGTATCGGCCGATACCGAGTACCGATACCGATACCAGTGTGTTAAAAAAAAAAAGAAAAAATCATACTACGCCTGCATGATTGTGATACAGGGGCGGACTGGGACAATAATTCAGACCGGGAGTTTGATCCCATCCCAGGCCACCACCACCAGATTAATGCAAAACACCAAGAGTGAGTTAGGTTGGCGCCTACTGATGTAAGAGTGTAAAATAATAAAGCAAAGGCTCCACATGCGCCCACACACAGCTTTTTCTGTTTCTTTCCCCTACAAAATAAATGTTTCTGTTG